GTCATTATAATAAACGATTTTAAATAGTCGATATTTCAATTGGTAACTGGTTCAATCGACTGTTCAATGGAAAAGGTTGTTTATGCTACAACACACTCATCTGTTTTAGAAGCATAAAAGCAAATTATAAAAGCAGAAAAACGTTTTCTTACCAAACCAATAGTAGAAATAAAAGACATAACATAACTGGGACGACGGTCACTTACGGTACAGACCCACCAATAAAACTGCATCAAAACTAATTATGACCGACTTTGGATTATTGGTTCGAAATAATTGAAAACATCTGATCGTTTCTATCAAGCCATTTGACATTCCGACAGCAATAATGGGTATTTCCAGATTTCAGTATGACCCGAGCTCGGGCGGATTTTCCTTTCTGAGAAAGACCTCATGTTTCTCGAACGAATGGAAAACGAATGAACAATGAATCCTTGAATCGGTGCGTTAGGACATTTTCAAGAAAAAACGCACAGACGCCTGAAAACTAATTCGATATCAATAACTATAACTCGAAACACAAATTTGTCTGTATGCTGACGTGTATTGGGTTTTCCTCTTCCTTATTTGGACTCCTCGGGATTACTCCATTTAGCACTTAACCAATCGTCTATTGTGACTATCTGGTGGAAAATTTCTTTTTCTTTTATAAAGAAGAGAATTATCAGGGATATGGTATTCTTTGTGGTTCCAGAACGGCTTCCCAGGTACCATAGCCTTTTCATAGCTATTACGAGGCAGTTGCTTGTCCGTTCTGTTTCTGCCTCTTCTAGACAGATTTGCTGATAGCCCCATTTTTAGTACCAGTTTTTAAAGAGTTATTTAAGGTGGTAACCATTGTTGCTCTCCCAGGTATCTGAATCTATTCGTAAAGAGGTCCCAGGCCATCTCCTCTTCAGTCGCCTTACTGGGTTGTAGAGCTAATACATTAGCATGTGAAGATAGTTGTTCATGGATTGTGGAAAATTTGTTGGGGATTAGGTTTTTTTGGAGGTCATTGGAAGTTTAAGTGTTGGAAACATTGTGAGCGTTGACCTCGGATTTTGGATTGGAAGGACTGTATTGTTTGGATTAGTAGGCCTAGCGGTGGTGCCCAGCCCAGTTCCAGTTCACATGTCCAAATCGGTTTTCAGTTAGTTTATAGAGTAGCCCGAAGCGTCTGTGCCATTCCTGCCTTTTTATATGTATGTGTCGGTTCCAGGTTAAACCTAAGTCAAGGTAGAAACTAAGGCAACGAACGCAGTCGGTTTTAGAGAAAGGAATCAGAAATATTGTGTGAAGGGTTTTGCTTCCGAGGGTAACTGTAATACGGGAGTATTTGTTTTCAAAGTTAACCTCTAAACTTTGGTCCATTCGGCAATTCTTGGACGTGTGCCTAGAGCTATTCCGAGGTATTTGCAGAATCGGGATCAGAGAAAAGCACGAATGTGTCATCTTCAAAGGATGCAAGGAGGGTAGAGGGTTTGGTTGGGATGTCTCGATGAAAAGAAGGATTGGTCCGAGCACAATGCCCTGTGGCACTCCCGCTCCCACCGGACTGTAATCGGAGCAGTCCGGCCCTTGACGAACGTGGAAGAATTAGGTATAAGCTGTTTGGAAAGAAGCGCTTTAGTTTGTGTAGGAGACACTCGTCCAAGGAAGGCCTCCTATACAGTATTCTTTATGCTCTAAGAATGACGATACTGCTGGGCTGTGAAGGTGGTTTGGGAGTAGGTTAAAAGAATTAAGCTCAAGGATCGAGTCGATTTACGAGGATCTTTTCGAATATTTTTGAGAAGAGAGGGAGCATGCTAACTGGACGGACTCCTGTTTGAATGTTACTTATTTATCTGTTCTTGTCCTTCAAGGCTTTAATTTAGGGAACAAATCTTCCTGCCCCTGTACCTTTTTGTGTCAACAGAAGGCCCAGGTGCCAGACTCGATGGAAAGTTTGCGCCATGTCAAATGCACGCAACTGCGATCTCATAACATTCTGTTCTGAACATTTATATTCTAGAGGTAAGAAGAACTAAGTTTCTTTACGAATTATTAAATAACCTGATCTCAAGTCCTTAACTACTTTCTTATATTACTAATTTTTTGAACACGAGAGATTTGTGTAGATAAGGTAAATGTCCCTAAATTCAAAACTCGTAATTTATTATCGTTATTTTTGTTTACTGCTCCACTACCAGTTTCACACAGGATTTGGAGAAATTTAAGAAGCAAAAGGAATACATTCTAGGTTCATATCCGAATGATTGTTGTCTCTTAATTAAATATTAATAAATAATTAATTGATAGTTGTTAACCTGACGTGTTTGAAGTGTTGACTACCCTTTTGAAAAGGCGTCGTCCACATCGGGTCTTCTAGAGTACCTGGACCCTTTTAGTTCGTCTGAAGGTCAACGCCCAGGGTTGACGTAAATGGAAGATTGTAGACACTAGTCAAGCACGAGAAGAGCTGTTGAAACCAAATCAGAACCGAGGACGAGATAACCACACGCGTTTCAATTTTTCACCCTCAATCGTCTTTAAAGAACAAAAACCTTTTAAAGATTTTAGGTTTTTATGACATAACGAACACATTATAACAAGTGCAAACTAATTTCATTACGCCTCGAGTCGAAACAAAGAAAACAGAAGCAGCTATTGGACTTATGTGGGTTGCGATCAAATGGAGAACTACGAGTATAGCGAAGAAATAAAATATAAAATTTCTAGGAACTGGATGGGTTAGAAAATATGATGGTTTAAAACTAGCTTTTTTCTGCTATGAAAATTTTAAAATTGTTCTCAAGGGATACCTGCTATTCTAAGGTTTTTTGTACGCCTCGAGATTTATGAGTTAACTACCCCTCGGTTGAGCCCAAGCTCAAACCTTCATATGCCATTTTAATAAAGTAAGAATAATCTTCCTCCAAACTTATTTCACGAGTGTTGCGTTATTTAAATCATTTAAATCATAAAGCAAAGAATTAATTTTATTTCCTTAGGAGGAAGTGGCTTGTGCCGGACTGGAACAAAACTGCGATCGATTGTTTCAAAAGTTATCCATAGGTCACGGGAAACCCGTGATGAAATGGATCTGTTTACGAACGATTTTTTCTTTTCATCGGATCTTATCAAATTGTCCGTTTAAAGAACAAGCGACCCATTCGACCAAAACCTCGAATATAAAATCGATTTGCCGACGTCATTTTGGCAATTATTAGTCAAAGTCGTAAAAATCAATTAGTCCCGAGTGTGGCGGATTCGCCGTGAAAATTGTTTCCTTTATTGTCCTATTTTTCTTATAGAACAAGATCATATTTACTACATATGAACAGTCTCGAAATTAATCTAAATAAATTGTTTAAGATCGTTTGCCACGAATCTAGCAGATTTTTTAGTCAAGGGATACATAAATTGTAACATATTTACTAATTTATAAGTTTATAATTTCTTACCGATCACTCACTATATCTCATTCACTCACTACTACTCACACTCATTAACTTCTCATTTAATTACTTATTCACCGTTTCACCACACCTCACTAAATAATACCTTACTAACTTTGAATTTTTAATATCTTGGGGTTTGATAGGACCGGTCTGACCGATCACTCACTCTCATACAATCACTTACTACTATTCTCACTCACTCTCTCATTTAATCACTTATTCACTCTTTCACCTTACGTCACTAATAATAATACCTGACTAACTTTGGGTTAATAATAACTTGGGGTTTGACTGGATCGGTCTGAACGATCACTTACTCTCACGCACTCAATATCTCTCTCACTCACTCATTCATTCACTTCTTACTGACTTTCACTCTCACTCACTTACCTCTCTCACGCACTCATTTACTTACTTACTGACTTTCACTCTCACTCACTCATTCATTCACTTCTTACTGACTTTCACTCTCACTCACTTACCTCTCTCACGCACTCATTTACTTACTTACTGACTTTCACTCTCACTCACTCACTATCACTCTGTTTCACTCACTCACTCTCCACGCTAATGCACTCTCCCACTCTCTCTCCAGCTTCATTAAACTGCAAAGGAGCCGATCTAAGCGAACCGCCATCAAACTCAAAATAACTAACTATAAAATTTCTAACGCAAATAAATTTAAATTAATTACAGATATAAAGTTAAATAAATTCTAAACTTTTCGGTCACGACATGGGCAGTTTTTTCGCATTCTGGAAATAATGGCAACGAATTATTATACTGATGTGAGTAGCGTTTTCACGCCTGAGGCACATTTACTCAAAATTTTGTATTTTATAATTATTTAATCAGTACATTTTAGAGAACACAGAGAAAAATGTTTAAAAAATCGGTAGATTTAATATAAATGGAAAACAGCTTTGCACGTGGAAATGAAGACAGAGCGGCGATGCCAGTCCGTCGTGAATTTAGAAATCCTGAGGTCGGACTCGACGTGTCAGCAACTTTCGAATAACTCGGAAGGACAGAGGGAATGAAGTGGAAACGGGCCGTGGCGATCCTCGTTTTACCCATCCCGGTCGGGACTTCTCCAAAGTATCCTCATTCCTCCATCCCGGTCGGGACTTCTCCAAAACATCCTCGCTCTTTTGGCGCCCCGGAAGGGCCTGGGATGACGCAACGGGACGACGATGAACTCGGCCGACTGCGTAAATCGGCGAGCATCCGGTTTTTAAAAAAAAGCTTCGTGGCAAAAGACTTTCTACGTAGAAACCCGTTCCGCCGCAGGATTTCTTCGACTTCGAATCTCCCTCATCTCGGACTCGCGTCGCGGGTCCGTCCGGCCTCGCTCCGTCAACGGACGCATCCTCTGAATCGTTCCGAAACTGCGATTTGTGAGTCTAAATCGGTTAAACATACGGAGCGGAGCAATGACCTAGTTAGGGGAGTCGGATTCTCCGAAAACGGACGGCTGCCAGACTCTATTCACTATTGGAAAGGCGAAGGACGGGGTGGGAGGAGAGGGGAAAAACAAAGAAATTAAAATTCAAAACTGAGATAAAAAAAACTCACTTTCTTTTCTCCTTGGGAGCGGCGGCGTTGAGGGCCATCTCGTCGGATGAGTATCACAGACTCTAAAACTGTCCTCTTTGTCGTAAAATCCTTTCCCTTCTCGTACGACGGCAACACACACGGGCGTCCCGAGGCACTCTTTCCGTGGCGAAAACTGATCAAAGGGTTCGAGCCGTTGAGCCCGGTGCGGAGCATTGATTTCTCTAAGTCGATCCGCGTACCTCAGTCGTTGCTGTTCAACGGGAGGAAAAAACTATCGATCCGGCTTCCCTTCGAATACGGACATAACGGTTCAGAAAGTGCTAAGGACGAGGCGGTCGGAACCGAGACACGGTGGACGTCGATCAAGGGACGGTCGCTTACTGAAAAGCACGCTAGATTTCGGCCCGTCCGCTGCTGAGTAGCGCCCCCCCCCCCACCGCATGACCACCACCCTCACGACCATGTTCCTTCAGGCCTTTTATCTTCCTAAGTAATTCAGCGATATCAATTACGTATTTCCAGTGCTAACTGTCATGTATTTTTTAGTAGTGAATCGAATTTTTGAATCATTAAGTCCAACTGGCTACATACTGTAAAAATTTATTCAATTTTATTACCCATAAAACGTGTTTTTTAAAACTATGTTTGAAATTATAAGAATTTTAGAGTATATTGCTTATTGGAACTAGTTTTGTGTTACTAGGAACAGAAAATATAATTAAAAAGCATATTACAACAAAAAAATTTAAAATTAAATAAAAACAAAAATGCATATAAATATTTCATATAATGGAAAATATTAACAAGATTATTTAAGTAATAGTTCTGCCTTTTAAGTAGGCGAAACATTGTTAAGTAATATAATGTTACATAAAGATTTAAAAAAATTATGTTTTATTGCTGTCAGTTTTCTGCTGTTCGAGGATATAATATTAAAGGAAACGAATGAAACATTATTTAGAGAGGAAGGGATGGAGGAAGAGAGAGAAAGTGAGTGAGTGAGAGGGAGTGAATGATGGACAGGGAGAGGGGGAGAGAGAGAGAGTGAATGAGAGATACAGTAAGTGGATGAGTGAGTGAACGAGTGAGTGCGAGAGAGTGAGAGACAGAAATTGAGTAAGTGAGTGAGAGAGAGAGAAAGTGAGTGAGAGACAGAAATTGAGTAAGTGAGTGAGAGAGAAAGTGAGTGAGAGATAGAGAGGGTAAGTGAATGAATGAAAGAGAGGGGGAGTGATTGAGAGGAGAAAGAGTGAATGAGAGATCGAGTAAGTGAGTGAGTGAGCAAGTGACGTGGAGTGAGGGAGAGAAAAAGTGAGAAAGAAAAATTGAGTGAATGAGTTAGTGAGTTAGTGAGCGAGAGAGACAGAGAGTGAATGAGAGATAGAGGGAGTGAGTGAGTAGCGAGTGAGAACGAGAGAGTGACAGAAAGAAATTGAACGAGTGAGAGGGAGAGAGAGCGAATGAGGGGCAGTGTGTGAAAGAGAAAAAGAAAAGAAAGAGAGAGTGACACACACACCGAACATCAGAAAAAACGAAATCTACTAAAGAAAACAAAAACTAGACAAGAACTTGTTTTACAATTAGGTCAAATAACAAATGAAATAACAAAATAGTCATATGTACACGTTCAATAGATCGGTCACTCAGGTAAAGTGGTATAAACCACACACACCTGTACGTGAAGATCCATTCAGTAGGTTCACGAGTCTTGCCAAGTTGGAGTCGCTCCCTTCAAAAAATCCAAGTAAGCAATTCGGAAAGGTTCATTAATTAGGCATTTATACAAAATATCTGCCTCCTTTTCGGCTAAACGGCAAAATCGAATTGGGATTAATCTTGTAATCTGCCCGGTAAAACCGGAAAACAAAAATTTGGGCAATATTTACTACAAGTACCGGGAAAAAGATTTAAATCATTTCAAAAATAAGTTCATTAGCTCCATTATATTTAGTGGCCTGATTGACCAAATTACTTCTTTCAATTAATTATTCTTTGTATGTAAGGTATTGGTTGAAATGAAAAAGTCAGTGTCACGAGCGGGATTCGAACCCTCGACCTTCGGCTGTTCATTAGGTTTGAAGCGCAATGAGGATTCGGAATCAGTTGTAAATAATAATTACTATAAATAGATTCCTTAATTTAAAACGGTCATTTTCTTCGAAAAAGTTCTCATATACGTCTATGAGATTAACAAGACTATGGTTAGGTTCATGTCCATCTTCTCGGTACCATATGTCCAGGCACCCGATATCTGAAAGCAAGTTCATTATCAGCGTACCCATATTATCTCAACATAATATGCTTTATTTCTAACGCTACAGAACATAATCGCACGAAATAGGGTGATATGTATCTTTATCTCATTAAATATTGAACCTGTCTAATCATCGCCAACCGTTATTTATTAACACGATAGGTACATTTTCTGTACACATACATATTAAGGACTACCACAAAAATTTATAAATATTATTTGATTTTATTTATAATTTTATGAATCGATTTCGGTGTTCTTGGAAGACAAAAATAAATTTTCTATCAGGAGAAGACGGTACTTTATAAAATACTATTTCTACACTGTTGTATTCTACAATAAAAAAATAATTAACTAAACAAAAAAACTGCAAAAAGTAAAAAATAACTTTTTTTATAAGATTATGAAAATAATAATTTTGTAAACCTTTATTGACTCCATTTCAAATAGTCATCAGTTTATATGTATATATGAATAAGTTAGAAAGTGAGTGAATGAATGAGAAAGAGATAAAATGAGTGAGTGAATGAATGAGAGAGAGCGAGGGAGATAGAGAAAGAAAGGGAGAAAGAGAAATTGGGTGAGTGGGTGAGAAAAAGCGCGAGTGACTGAGTAAGTGAGATAGGGTGAGTAAGTGAGCGACAGAGGAATAGAAATTGAATGAGTGGGTGGGAGATAGAGCGAGAGCGAGAGCGAGAGAGAGAGAGAGGGAGAGAGTGAGAGAGAGAGAATAAGTGAGTGGCTGAGTGAGAGAGAGATAAGCGACGTACGAGAAGTACTTTAGTGGTGTTTTTTTAGAGGTCGAAGGGGAGAGAGCGAAACCGACCCTTGACAGTTTTAATTTGTTTTTTAGAATTTAACGTTTTGCTAGATTATGTTTCGAAAATGATAACACCACTTCCAAATTTATCGAATTCCTATTTCCCGTCAAATGTCCTATATCTATCCGAGGCGTGATTTGCCTGACCTTATTCTGTGAATCGCTTCCTTGAAAAACATCGATTATTTGTACAAATTAGTCAAATATAGTGGTTTTCTCCTCGCAAATTTATTGCGATAAATAAAATACCCTTGTGTGAAATATAACTTGCAAGCGGATTTTTGCGATGTAGACACTTTGTAAGTCCGATATCGGTACTTAGGTAATGGTGGACAAGGATACGAAATCGACTAATCCGAAATCTTGTTCGACCTGTGAAGCGTGAAAATTATTTCTTGTTAACTGACGTATAACTAGAGATATCTAGAGGCTATTGAATAACATTTACACTGTGATAAGACAGCATAATAGATTTCATATTACTTATATTCTTGATTAATCTGTCAGGAATTCCTTTTTCGTTTTCACTCTGATAAACGTAAAGTAAACCAAAGCTTTTTGTTGTTACTCGCTTCTCTCAGGATGAGATCAGAGGTCGTTTTTACTGGTTGACCAGTAAGTGAGGGATTTTTTGTCGTGCGATACATAAGGGAGGTTGAGGTCATAGTAAACGGTACGATTGGTCACATAGAAACATTTGCAATACAACGGAGGGTTTCGGGCTGGAACGATTGGGTACGATAGGAGTTGGATGTTCTGGTTATAGTAAGTCCATGTCGGTTTAAGTAGTGTGTCGCAAATTAGTCTTTTATTGTTATTTGTTGCTTAAGTCTTGTATGGGGTTTCCACGTGAGGCGTTTGTAGATGTAAAGACTTGAATAGTCGTGGGTAGAGAAACGCGGTTGAGGAGAAGGATTGGTCGCCGTTATTTGAAGTTAATATTCTGGCATTTTCATTTATATTTGTCCTCCACTTCTTCAGCCAAGGCTCAAGAAAGGTGAGACTATATGGAACGAACGGCAAGGATAATTGTGAGCAGACAGGATTTCAGTGTTATCTGCAAATGTGAACAAGGAAGTATTTGGGTGTGAGCAGTATTTATTATATAAGGATTAAAACAAGAACAGTGCCTTAGGGGATTCCTGCTCGGACAGTATGGATGTTGGGAAGAACGCATGTCCCCCAAGGTAGGACTTTAGGATTAGGTAGCGGGTAATGGGAGGATGCCTTTCAATTTACACAGCATGCCAGACTTGATTCAATGCTTGCACAACGTCGACTCACTGGGGATGAGAAGTAGGCAATTTACAAAAATGTTAATCACTGAAGGGCGTCTGCAAAAAGAATGAAACGCCGCCGTCGACGTTTAGAGTTGCACCTTGATTGGTTCGAATTCGAGGAATAATTTATTGGGAACTGTTACCACGCAACCAAGCCCTTACGGCGGAAGTATACTGTGCATAGCTTGAGCGTCTTTGGTCAGCATTGAAGATAAAACGTCCAGCTCTGGTAAACAAAGGCGCAACGCTGGCCTCATACAGCTGCACTTATTCAGGGTAAAATTGCCGAGTCAGGCTGGTAACAACTGTTAAAGAAAGACCGTCCATGCTCTGCTTGTTTTTTGTTGAACTGTGGTCTTACTACTGTTGTAAATATTCAATAGGCCATTTTCCGTTTTAGCCGCCAAGATTTGCCTAGAGTCCTTCTCATTACTGATATTTTTTGTTTTGTTAAGCGCTGCAGGTTAATTTCTTATGGGAGATTATCCCTTATTTAACCTCGTTTTAGAAACATGAGCTTTCTATCTCTGTTGTTTATTTTTCTGTGTGGGTTTTGAAGGGCTTATTTGAAGGCCTCATTGTGAGCACCAATGCTCTTTCATGATGAGAGTTCTTTGGATGAACTGTTGTAATGTTGAGAGTAATTTTCCCCTTACTAGTATAATAATGCCATCTCCTTATTCTTGGGATAGATTCTGCTTTTATTTAATTTGTTTATGAAGTCGTCCACAACAGAGGTGAGAGTATTCCTCCTTGCGGACCTCCTCTCCCATTTTCCTGCTTTAGCTTTGCTTCTTTCCATCTGAAGCAGGTTTTATCAATTCCTCGCTGTCCCAGTAATGAGATCATTGTTTCAAAAGGAGTGTTATAAAATGCTCTTTTAATGTCCAAAAGAGCTTGCGTGTGGATATTTAAGAAGTGTTTTATCTTCTTTTAGGGTGCTTGTTTTTATTGGCCAACAAAGACTTTGTATGCTGCCTTGTTTTGCGTACGTTTTGGTAGCCTGTTTTGTTGAGCTGTGGTTCATCAGCCATG